GGATAGGACAAAATTTTCGGACAAAAAATATGTTGATCCAGGAACATGTCTTACTTGGCAAAATCACGATGATCATTCCTGCCTGGCTTTTAGAAATGATTTTACTCAATCCACCTGTCTAGGTTCTAACGCTTCATCTAAGTCTTTTGAAGTTTCACAGTATTTGCATTTGGTCTGGGCAGAAGAGAAATTTCACAAATTAGCTTCTGGCTATGCTTTGACAATTTAATTACTTTTATTATTAGTTGTGCACTTGTAATGGCAGGAAAGGTGCGTTTTCATTGCAGCAAAGCTTTGTGCCGAGACACCTTCCCTTCTTTCATCTTGTGCAGTACTAGTGACCAATCTAATCAAGTTTACCTGAGGGCTGACTTGTTTCGTTTCAGACAACTTTCCACAGAGCAGGCAGTTTTGCAGGAAACCCTCCAGAAGGAGTCCAAAGTGAACAAACGTCTGTCTATGGAGAATGAAGAGCTGATCTGGAAGCTTAACAACGGTGATCTGAGCAGCCCGCGCAAGGTCTCTCCTTCCCCGTCCCTCACTCTCCAGTCACCACGGAACTCTGGGGTGTTCTCCAGCCTTCCCGTCTCGCCCAGATAACAATAGCCTTCAGCTTCCAGGAAGCACTTTCATACAGGACGGAGCACTTCCTGCATGCTGAAGCTGGTCTGGACCATGTCAAAATGGAATAAACTCTCTTGTACAGACTAAAAAAAAAACTGAAGAAAATTTTGCACAGCAGCACTTGCCAATGAGGCCATCCTCATACTTTTGCCTTTCACATCTGTCTATGGAGAGAAAAAAAGGAATATCTCAGGGCTTGAAGAAAGTTTCTCTCCAAGTAGTTATTTTTTCCCCTCCTGAATTGCTTTTTTGCTTGAAGTTCCTAATTTTGGAGGACCGACATCAGAATTTATGACTTGGGCCTTTATCAACTTCTGAAGCTTTTACAACGTACACCTTGAAGTGCACCTGTATAAATCCTGATTTGTCATTGCCCCGGGACAAATGCCCAAATTCCAGCTGGACATTTCCCAGATGCTGTAATTGTGTAGCATTTGGTTTCCCTTTATTTCATTTAGGACCCTAGGTGAAATTTTCTAAAGCAGCAATTCATAGATCAGCTCATTCCATAAACTGACTGTTATGATTTAATCCAATGAAAATATTCACTGACTTTAAAAACCAGGTGTTCTCAAAATCTTATGCAAAAATGTCTTGTCTAATCATGCCTTTATTTTTGATTTTGTAAATGGTATTCTTTTTATATCACACATTTTAAGAACTGTAACAAGGTGAGCTTTACCCAGATCATGATGCATGTTTCATCTCAGATATGCTCTCCATATCATTCATATATTGCATAGGAGAGACTCGATACAATGATCAATGCAGAATGAATTATTACTAGTTGATTAAAAAGCTTTAATGTTTTAAATAATGCCTGTATGAGGGTTTAATTATCCCTTTTCTTCACTTCTTTGGCAATCAGAAATGCTGTCTAATCGTAATGGTATGCAGTAAACGGACGAGTGCTTGATATTGAACTTGTTAATGACATAGGCAGCCCTGTGAATGAAGGCATGTACTATTGGAAAAGCTGAATTTTTTTTTTTTTTTTTTTTTTTTTTTTTTTTTTTTTTCATAAAGATTTTCTTGAATACGGGTTTTGTATATTGTTCAGTCTGAGCCCTAGGGAAAAGACTTGAGTGTTTGTTTGTCTTTATTTCTATTTTTAAGTCTGATCATGAGACCAATATAAATTGACTGAGCATGTTCCAGTGGCCTCAGAAGAGCCCCCTCTGTCTGAAACCCTCCACTGCAGCTTTACATGCAAGCTATATACAAAGAAGTTAAGTTGATTTTTATTTGATGTATTGCTAAGCTGTTTGTTTGGATGTTGGTTTGAAACTGAAACTCTTGAAAATATGCAATTAATAAAGAAATTCAAAATCCACCTGTATTTGTCAGGCCGTTTATGTGCGGAAGCATGCAGAAACCTGTCGTATATGTTGGTTTTCTTATTGCTCTTCATCTTTTGGCTGTAAGTCTATGGCAGCACTTAGAAGTGTATATTAAATAGCTTGGAAATTTGGCACAATTTTACCATGATCTGTTATCTTTGAATAGTGAATTCTACTGTAACTTATTCTTGAATTGCTAATAATTCAATAACAGAAACCTCTGCGAGAAGAGCAGAAACATACTTTGAATGCGTCACACTGAACCAAAATAAGCACTGGGCTTCCGGTGCACATTCCACATACGGAGTCCATTAGAGTGGAGCACAAAGCCTTCACGGTCCTCAGACATATTTTATGTGTGTAAAAATATGCATATAGACCTTAACACCTTCCATTTTGAGTATTACAGATTAACATGGTTGAAATAACTCCTTTTATTTCACTGGCAATAGTGCATTATACACTCACATAAAGGATTATTAGGAACACCTGTTCAATTTCTCATTAAGACAATTATCTAATCAACCAATCACATGGCAGTTGCTTTGATGCTTTTAGGGGCGTGATCCTGGTTAAGACAATCTCCTGAACTCCAAACTGAATGTCAGAATGGGAAAGAAAGATGATTTCAGCAATCTTGAGCGTGGCATGGTTGTTGGTGCCAGATGGGCCGATCTGACCATTTCACAATCTGCTCAGTTACTGGGATTTTCAGGCACAAACATTTCTAGGGTTTACAAAGAATGGTGTGAAAAGGGAAAAACATCCAGTATGCGGCAGTCATGTGGGTGAAAATGCCTGGTTGATGCTAGAGGTCAGAGGAGAATGGGCCGACTGATTCAAGCTGATAAGAGCAACTTTGACTGAAATAACCACCCGTTACAACCGAGGTATGCAGCAAAGCATTTGTGAAGCCACATGTTCATGCACAACCTTGAGGCGGACGGGCTACAACAGCAGAAGACACCACTCTGTACCACTCATCTCCACTACAAAGGAAAAAGAGGCTACAATTTGAGCTCACCAAAATTGGACAGTTGAAGACTGGAGGTCTCGATTTCTGTTGAGACATTCAGATGATAGAGTCAGATTTTGGTGTAAACAGAGTCAAATTAGAGTATTTCTTTTGGTGTTTCCGAAAAGCTTGTTGGTGGACAGTGAGACCAGTGGCTTTGTATCTCCGCTCAATGGCCCACCCAGATGCCTTCATTTTCCGTAGCTCACTGGTGTACCAGGGGGCTGTTCGGGAGAAGGGCACTGTTCTAGTTTTTACTGGTGCGTGGATATCTAGGAGGCTCATGAGGGTGTTGTTGTAGAGGTCCACAGGGTCCATGACTGGTGAGCAGTTAACAGAGAGAAGATGCTGAAGGTCGGATGCCAAAGAATCTAAGTTGATGGGTTTTTTTTAGATTTCGGAAGCAGATTTGGTGCTTAGGCCGTGTGTCCACCAAAGCGTTTTTCCACGCCCCTGGCGTATGTTTTCAATTGTTTTCAATGGGAGCGCCGCGTTTTTTAAACGCCATGAGCGTGACGAGGCGCTGAGCGTTCTTTTCACGCTGAAGCGCCGAGCACCCAGCGTTTTTACTGGTCGCTGGGAGTTGAAAAATATTCAACTTTGGATAAAACGCAGCGCTCATCGCTGTCAAATTTTACCCAGCCGCCCAGTCACAGTGGAGGAGGGGCGGGACTAAACCACACCGACCAACTGTCACAACATTCAAACTGCTGCATATATTCTGTATCATAGCAACGAAACGTCTCAGAAAAAAACACTACGCAGCCAAAACGCTCTCAAGCACCCAAAGCACGGCATCTTCAGCAGAGCGTCTAGCGTTTTCAGCTGGCTAAAAACGCTTTGGTGGACACACGGCCTTAGGCTTGATGAGGGCAGATGGTGAAGTCATCATCATAGAAATGACCTTGTGGTCAGAGATGCCCAGATCATAAACCCGGAGATTGCTGAGATGGTCAGAGTTTGTAATGACCAGATCGAGTGTGTGTCCCCTCGTGTGAGGGACATTGACGAGTTAGATTAAAAAAATCCAGTAATTGTAGGAATTCTGCTGCAAAACGACAGGTGGGGGAGTTGATGACATGGATATATCTCCAAGAACTATGATATTGGCAGACATAGGACAGAGTGTTGTCAGAAGGTTAGACATTTTCTGGAATGAAAGACTGGTTTGGTCTGGGTGGCCGATAAATGAGAAATATTGTTGTGGAGAGAGGAGGCTTGCACTTAAAAGCGAGGTATTCAAAAGAAGATGGCTCAGGCATGGTGAAGGGTGAAAGGCCCAGATCACTATAACCAATGAATAAAGTGGGAAGAGCTGGGTTAACTTCAGCACAAGAAAGAGCATATCTCATCAGCATTTTTATGCCAGAAGGTATTGCATTAATGACAGTGAAGAACTCTTTGGGGTGACAAGTAAATCCATGCTTTAATGTAAAAGCATTATAGTTTAAAAGGTTACCCTTTTCATCTATTAGATCCCTCACCAACCATATACTTCTGCTCAGCCAATTCTTGAAGCATAAAGATTTGTTCCTGTGCAATTTGTTGTTCCAAATGGAAACACTGAGGTGTAAAATTTTGTGTAGGCTATGTGTCAATTTCCAAAATAAGAGAACTTGTTGATGGAATGTTGATAGTTTCAGTGGGAGTTTAGATAAATCAAAATCACATTTGAGAAAATATTGAATTCCACCAAATTCTTGAAATAAAGCTGAAGGAACTGTAAACCAAAAACTTCATTACAAACAAACATTTTCAGCCATTTGAGTTTTAACAAAACATTCATGTTTTCGAATTCAATCACATTCAAACCCCCTTGTTCGTAAGGTTTAATGATGTCTGCTTTTTTAATATAATGAGCTTTATTGTGCCTCCAAATAAAATTATACATTTTCCGAGAACATTACAGGGGGAGCTAAAGAAAGAGCGGGATAAAATAATCTGGATAAATATGCGACTTTGGTTAATAAAATTCTCTCCAGCTTTACTTTTTTTTTTTTTTTTTTTTTTTTTTTTTTTTCAGCTGGGAAGGGTAGCGCCCTGATGACGTATTGGAGGTGCGACAGGGCGTGCGCCACACACCAGAAGGATGGAATGCCGTGATCAGACCGGGAGAAAACAAACTTTCTGCCGCAGCTCCTGTGAGTGTAGCGCGGCCGGCGAAGCAATCCAAGTTGTTTGCATGACTGGTATGCATGATGGAACGTTGCCATTGTTGAAACTCCTCAGTTGGGTGACGGAATACTTAAACATCGTGCCAGTCGCGGAAAACGGCCAGGTGTCCCGGCCACAGCACCCGCGCCGAGCAGAGGAGAGCCGCCAGACTCAACAGAAGCCCCAGAAGAAGGCAGTCTGGTAAGTTGACAACAGCTGGAATCGGCAAAATCCGTACAAACACATCCATAAAGTTTGCACTAGTTATATTTACTGGACGTAGTAGTGCTGGTCAATTAAACATACTGTAGCTATAGTCTGGTTATAGCCTAGAATCGGCGAAATCCGTACAAACGCATCCATAAAGTTTGCACTAGTTATATTTACTGGAGGCCATAGTTGTGCTGGTCAATAAATATACTGTATAGCCTGGTTAGATAGCAACCGTTCTTCTTGCCGCAAGGATTTTCGGACGGAGAAGCGGCGAACAAACAACGTTAGCGTCCTCTCTGAGCTTCCTCGTCGAAATGAGGGATAGATGCTATCCTATCAGTAAATGGACCAACATTTCTAAAGAATGCTTTCAGCACCTCAGCACCAATTCTATGTGGCATTGATTCAGCACCAGCAATCAATGCCACATAGAATTAAGGCAGCTCTGAAAGCGAAAGGAGGTCAAACATTAGTCTGGTGTTCCTTTCCGTGAGTGTATATTAAGTAGTGTTGCATTATAACTTTATCAAGTCTCCGTCAAAGAAGCACTTTATTTCCAAGTCATATATAGAATACATGTTTTTTTTTTTTCATAACAAGCAAGAAGTGTGATTGGAGTCCAGCTCATCTCAATATAATCTTGATGTTCTTTCTAGTCACGTGACTTCACCGATGTGGCCACCAATGTTTCTCCGTTCTTATTTTTGGTGGTGCAGATGTACTTTCCATAATCGATGGTTTCAACATCATCCACAATCATGATGCTCTGGGAGATGCGTGTGGTGTGTCCCATGCCGCGGTTTATCAGCCTCCAGGAGTCATGAATGCTCACTGGTCTCTGACCCTGAGAGACACACAATAAGGACACATTGAAACCTATTCATTTTTTTTATTTTTTTTTTTAAATATTTTAAAGTCTCATGATTTTAATATTGTGAAATATAATTACAATTTTAAAGAACCGCTTTCCATTGCAATATGTATTAAAATGTAATGTATTCTTGTGATGACTAAGCTGTCACATGATCATTTTAGAAATTATTCTAATATGAGGATTTGATGTTAAAAAAAAGAAAACATTTCTTATTATCAACTTTCTAAACAGTTGCGCTGCTTAATATTTTTGTGGAAACCATGATACACTACTATTCAAAGGTTTGGGGTAAGTATGTTTTTTGTTTTTAAGAAGAAATTAATTCAACAACTTTAAAAGAGACAGTAAAGACATGTATAATGTTACAAAAGATTTATATTTAAAAATAAATGCTGTTCTTTTAAACTTTCTATTCATCAAAGGATTATGAAAAAAGTATCACATTTTTGCACAAAAATATTAAGCAGCAAAAACGTTAATAATAATAAGAAGAATCATTATTAATAATTGAGTTAAAAACTAATAATTAATGAGCACTAAATCAGCATTTCAGAATGATTTCTGAAGCATCATGTGACACTAAAGGCTGGAGTAATGATGCTGATAAAATTCATCTTTGTCATCACAGGAATAAATTACATTTGAAAATATATCAAAATAGAAAACAGACATTTTAAATTAATATTTCACAAAATTACCATTTTTAGTGTATTCTTGATCAAATAAATACAGTCTAGGTGAGTATAAGAGACTTCTTTATACATTAAAAATCTTATGTAATCTCAGCTCTTGCCTGGTGGTTTGTCCTTTTATAGTTATCATGATCAAAGCTGTAGCGTCCACAAAATGGCATAATACTGTGATTAATACATTATAAAATGATAGTCTCAATCATCCTGAATCAGAAGCTCATATGAGGTGAAATAACAAAAGTAACTCTCACCTGGCCAGGATACCTCCAGCTGAAGCTGACATTCATCTCAGGTTCTCCCAGGACTGTGCATGTAACGTTAAAGATGTCTCCACCACTCACCGTGTTAACTGAAGCCTCGATAGTCGCAAAAGGGGGACCACTAGGCACTACAAGGGTAAATCTCTTTTAGATTCATACAATGGCAAAAACATGTTTAAAAGCAAGTGTTATTAGCAACACTATTGTGTTCTCCTCTTACCCTCTACATACAGCAGCTGATATTTAGTGGATATTTGCGGGGTGGTTTTCGTGGTGCTGTTGGCCTTGCAGTAATAAGCTCCCTTATGTTCTGGACTGGGGTTTTGAATGATGAAGCCTTTGGTGGGATTGTAAGATATCTGGGTCCTATCTACTGCGATTTCTTCTGCAGGAACTTCCCTGTGCAGCGAGACTTTGATTTTGGGGTTGGTCACCCGGCAAGGGATGATGGCGGACTTATCAGGGCGCAGGTAGATAATCTCAAAATGGATGGCAGAGGGGACGAACAGCTCATCTTTGTCTAGACACAAGGATAATTGTAACAATGTCTTTGGAGGTTCAAGATCACATAGGTATCTTTGTGTGATATAAGACCAGATGGTGTACCTGTAAAGTATATGTAGGTAGCAGAGGTACTTTCTCCATCCTTTTCACATTCTACTCCATCACAGAGCAACACCCAACAGCTGTACTCTCCTGTATCAGCAGCAGAGGGCGACGTGAGGGTCAACTGACTGTACCGCTCATGCTGCTTGATGCTGGAACGGCAGAGTCAAACAAGTATCCACACATTATACTTGTATACCAAATGTCTACCTGCACTATTTTTGCTGTATTCTACAATTCAAGTACTATGTATATTGATGATGGCAATTTTCATCAGAAACACAGTTTATCCATTCAGGGAAATATTATAATCTTATTATAGTTAACTAAAACTATTACGAAAGAGCATTAAGAAAAAATCATTACTTGAAATAAAATGAAATTTAACTGAAATAAAAAGGTTAAAAAACAACAACAACGTTTTAGTTTTTAAAAAAATGTAAAAGACTATAAAGATATTGTTAAATACTAAACCTTTCATTAACACAAAATATGAAAACAGAAACTAATTAAAAATATTAATAAAAATCTCAATGAAATGTTAAAGAATGAAATGTTTTTTTTTTTTTTTAAGATAAAGATTACATTTAATTTAAACAATTATTTTTCTCATGTCTGCAAATGTTCTGTCAATTATGTTAATGAGAGAACAACCCCTTAGCAACTAAAAAAATCTACTGCAACCAAACATTGTGTGACCACCATGTCCAGAATTTTTTTTTTTTTTTCTGTACTGGCCATTTTGAACACATTATTATTAGTGTTCTTTTATTTATTTTATTTTTTCTGAAGTAACTTATTATCAGAGTCGTGATTTTTAGCATCTCTGTTTTGATTCTTTAACTAAATCTTTCACATGCAACGGAATCATGTGACCATTTAATCCATTCCTGTATCTTTGAAACACTTGTATTCCAAACATTAAATACTCCTGTAGCTATTCGTTTGCCCGATTTAGCCAAACTATTCAATCAAACATGTTAAATAAATGGATAATGCAAGAATAAAGGATACCTAAGGCGGTTATCATTGAAGGTGTCCAGGTAAGAGGGATATGCCCAGCCAATCTTAGTTCCTTTGCATCTCAGTTCCAATGTTTTCCCAGGATTCAAGGATAGGCTCTCACCCAGTCTGAGAAAACGGCCTTTATCAAGGACCTGGGTTAGAATAGACTGGCCCTTGCTTCCTGCCTCCTTTTCTTTAACTTTGGGGTAGCGAACCTTTGCCCTCTTTCTTCCTGGTCTTATGCGGTTCTCACCAGCCTCTTTTTTACGCTTGACCTGCTGACAAACACCTGTGTAAACCAAAACAGAGTTTTCCTGGTCACCAGCAGATGCATTGGGATGAGAGTGGCAAACATTGGGAATAACATTCTGCTCTGAATTATGTGAGTAGGACATTAACATTACACAGCATGTGTGTTTCATTTCTCTTTTTGAGACACTTGATAACTCCTCTGCCTCCTATGACCAAGCCAAAGAAAAGGAAAGAGAGAGAGAGCATTCTGCCATCTGGAAATGTACTTCTGCTCACAGCTGTACAAACAGCAATAGTGGAATCATGCCTTTCCCATTCTATGTGCGAAAATGTAGAAAACTGAACAATATAGTGGTTTTCTGAACCTTTTAAATTCATTTCTGACACATGATGATGGAAAAACACAAGTTTTTGCCTTGTTGATGAGCTCAAACAGATCTGATTCTCTGTCTTTGGTCTCTGCTGTATAATTTAAGCATACGTTTAAGTAAAACTGCCCTGATTTGATCTTTCCTCTTTCTGCTCTGGAATTTTGGTTTCTATTGGCAGCAGTGTCACCACTGGCACACCGTAAATGTTCATCCATAACATCTCCACTTATTTACTATTTCAAGCATTGAAAATACAATGTGTTGACTTCATGAAGAAAGAATAGCAAGGCAGATGAAACAAAGAGAGATCTGCTCACCATTTTGGACCTCCAGCCAAAGCAATACCAGTGTGAAGAGGAGCCAGAGCTTCATGATGGCTGAAGTGGAGTGTTTCAACAAGGCTGTGTTTTCAACTCTTCAGTGATTCAACTCTTCGTCCACAGTCTACCCCGTTTACACACAGTCAGCTCCATCCTTCGCGAAAAAGAGGAATTCCCCCAGTCCAATGAGCCCATCTGCACACTCCCCTTTTAGTGTCAATCTGTGAGTCCCATCCAATGATCCTCTAATGCCCTCTGCTGGACTATAGTTAACCCTGCATGGGGTGCCGCCTATTTGTGCCTTTTGGCTCGAAAATACGATAATCCAGTCAATTTTGTTCAAACATGTCATAATTTATACTCATTTTCAAGTTTATTTTTTTTTTTATATGATCAATAAATTATGACAACATATGTTTTTACATTGTTTTAACTCATCAAAGTTAGTCTTTTTTCGGTACCAGAAAATATCTGCTGTACATGCCCCCTTCGCTCTGAGCTTGAGATGAAGCCTCTATTGCCCCTTTAAATCCTTATTTCTCCCATCTCAGGGGAAAGTAAGGGAATAAGCCATGACCATTCAAAAATATGACCGGGTTTCTAAAGATACGAAGCTTAATGCAAAGGGAAGAAGTGTCCCTTTAACATGTCTGTGAGTGAATGGGCGCGGGACAGCGGGCACATTTATTGCGCTGAAAACACCGTTGGCCTGAGCTGTCTGTATGTGAGTTGGTTTAGTTTTTACAGAAACTGTGGGACATGCAGTGTAGTGTTTGTGGGCACTGGGTTGTGGGAACATTCGGTAACACTTTAAAATAATGGTCCATAGTTAACAAGTAGCTATGCAGGAAGTAATAGGTAGTACTGCATTAACACCGAACCTAATACTATTAACTAATATGGAAGCAATATTAACTAAGCATTAAGTAATATGTAATTTAGTACAAAGGTAGTTCCTTGGTAGGTATTTGATTGTTACTAAAGAAATATATCCTCATTGAGAACTACTTGTGAACTAAGAAATAATAACCAATTAATTACTAATCACAAAAGTAACATGTCTAAAAAGTGAACAATTGTGGGGGTTTTATTCTCTTAACATGGTCATAACATTTCAGAAGCATGTGCCTCAAATGGGTTCTTTGTGGAAACCAGTTTATGAAGTTTATATATCCTCCCAAATACATCAGCTAGGTTGAGATTGTGACCACTACTCTTGCCAGGATGGACGCATGTTCTCTGTTTATTTAAAACTTAAACATAAAATAATACTAATAAAGACAGTTTTTAAAAATAAATCTTAAATAATTAGGAAGTGATGCTGACACTCTCATGATTGGATTAGTTCACTATTATGAGCTCTATTGAATGTCAGTCACATATATCTCAGACTCCAAAGACCTATAACTTTATGTTACATTAGCTGCCTGAGAAGGACTTCTCTTTAGGACATGAATATAAACATTGATGTTCACTTGTCAAAAACAATTGGCATCTTTAATGAAGAAATTGGCTGCATTTATGTTACGATAAGCAGAAAAACCACATCTTCCAGATTACAGTGTTTGTTAGAATATTAGTGCCTCACAGAACCTGTACAGTATGTGTCAAATATAAAATTAAATAACTTGTATCATTTGTGAAAAACATGTTAACGCCTCAATAACTACTTAAGCGTTACCTTGTCATCCCGCAGGAACTACTAGTTATGTGGCCCATTATTTTAAAGTGAAAAACATGTTAACTCCTAACTAACTACAAGCGTTACCTTGTGTAAACATTGCGGGATGACAAGGTAACGCTTGTAGTTAGTTAGGAGTTAACATGTTTTTCACTTTAAAATAATGGGCCACATCACTAGTAGTTCCTGCGGGATGACATGTTAACTCCTAACTAACTAGCGTTACCTTGTCATCCCGCAATGTTTACACAAGGTAACGCTTGTAGTTAGTTAGGAGTTAACATGTTTTTCACTTTAAAATAATGGGCCACATCACTAGTAGTTCCTGCGGGATGACATGTTAACTCCTAACTAACTAGCGTTACCTTGTCATCCCGCAATGTTTACGCAAGGTAACGCTTGTAGTTAGTTAGGAGTTAACATGTTTTTCACTTTAAAATAATGGGCCACATCACTAGTAGTTCCTGCGGGATGACATGTTAACTCCTAACTAACTACAAGCGTTACCTTGTCATCCCGCAATGTTTACACAAGGTAACGCTTGTAGTTAGTTAGGAGTTAACATGTTTTTCACTTTAAAATAATGGGCCACATCACTAGTTCCTGCGGGATGACAAGGTAACGCTTAAGTAGTTAGTGAGGAGTTAACATGTTTTTCACAAATGATACAAGTAATTTAATTTTATATTTGACACATACTGTACAGGTTCTGTGAGGCACTAATATTCTAACAAACACTGTAATCTGGAAGATGTGGTTTAAGTTTTAAATAAACAGAGAACATGCGTCCATCCTGGCAAGAGTAGTGGTCACAATCTCAACCTAGCTGATGTATTTGGGAGGATATATAAACTTCATAAACTGGTTTCCACAAAGAACCCATTTGAGGCACGTGCTTCTGAAATGTTATGATCATGTTAAGAGAATAAAACCCCCACAATTGTTCACTTTTTAGACATGTTACTTTTGTGATTAGTAATTAATTGGTTATTATTTCTTAGTTCACAAGTAGTTCTCAATGAGGATATATTTCTTTAGTAACAATCAAATACCTACCAAGGAACTACCTTTGTACTAAATTACATATTACTTAATGCTTAGTTAATATTGCTTCCATATTAGTTAATAGTATTAGGTTCGGTGTTAATGCAGTACTACCTATTACTTCCTGCATAGCTACTTGTTAACTACTGACCATTATTTTAAAGTGTTACCGAACATTCACTACATTGAATGCACAATTGACATAGTTGATTTTATTTGTGCTAGCCCTGTACTGTGGCAGGCTGTGTTTGTGAGTAGAAATGAACACTAGGCTGTGGGCATTTTTATTACACTCTTAACACCATCAGCCATGGCCGGAATTACCAGTAATTACACTGTTTATGTAATTTATCTAGGTCGACCTGTACTGTGGCGGGCTGTGTTTGTGTGTAGAAATGAACACTGGGCTGTGGGCATTTTTATTACACTCATAACACCATTGGCTGTGGCCGGAATTCCAGAAATTACCCTGTTTATGTGATTTATCTAGGTCGCCGTGGAAATGGCATTTGTGTGCAAGCAAGCAGGTCGTGGTACTGGCTTGTTTACTGCAAAATACACTGGAACAGTTGCATTTTCTGGAACTGAACGAGCAAAAAGTTTCGGTGAAAGTCTGGCCGCTGTGAGACTTAAACACTGTTGTTTTCCTAGGAGGGCTAGGAAGAATTTGAGGCCTCTGGCTTTATCTCAATCTTTTGCCGGGGCCCACGCGGAGGGGAGCGGCGGCTGGCAGAGCGAGAGCGTGGTATCTGGTCCCGGGCGCTGTGAAGCGGCGCCGGGCGGAGGCTGGGACTGGGAGCTTTGAGCAGACGGCTGTTTTTGATTGATTGATTGATTGATTACTTTATTGTCATTGTACTTGCATACAATGCAATTTTTAATACTTCCAACATACATACACAGTAAAGAGTAGTTAGTTCATAGTGCAAGTTTCCCATTATGAATAAAGTGCTTAGTGCTATCCACTTAATTGTGTAACATGTCAAAAAAGTCTTGTGGTAATGAATTGAGGATGTAGTTTCAGTTCATGGTTCATTATCCTGATGGCATTAGGATAAAAACTGTTCATGAGTCTGGTTGTGCGTGCTTTGATTGATCTAAAGCAGGGGTTCTCAACTACAGTCCTCGCAACCCACTGCGAGGACTGTGAGAATCCTCAGAATCAGATGTGTTAAATAAGGGAGACATACACAATATGCAGAGCAGTGGGTCGCAAGGACTGGAGTTGAGAACCCCTGATCTAAAGCGTTTCCAGAAGGTAACAGTTCAAATAACTGATGGGCTGGGTGATTCGGGTTTGTCACGATGTTGAGTGTTTTCTGCAGGCAGCGGGAGTTATAAATGTTATCCAGAGCAGGTAGCTGTTGATTTGTGATGTTCTGTGCAGTTTTTATAACTCTCTGCAAGGCCTTTTTATCATCAGCTGAGCAGCCTCCATACCACACCAGCATGTTGTAAGTGAGGATGCTTTCGATAGAACAGCGGTAGAACGACACCAGGAGCCACCCTGACAGATTTATTTTCCTAACCATTCTGAGAAAGCCTTCTTCACTGATGCTGTGATGTTTGTTGTCCATGAGAGGTGTGCGCCCAGAAATTTAAAGCTTGATACTCTCTCCACTATCTCCCCGTTGATGTGCAGAGGTGTGCGAGCAGATTGTTTCTTCCTGAAATCAACGATGAGTTCTTTCGTTTTCTTGATGATTAGGGTAAGATTGTTCTCCTTGCACCACGTCGTTAACCTCTCTACCTCCTCTCTGTATGCATACTCATCTACATTGGTGATCAGCCCCATCACAGTCTTGTCATCCGCAAACTTAATTATGATGTTGTTGTCATTAGATGGTATGCAATCATAAGTATACAGGGAGTAAAAACATGGGCTCAGCACACAGCCTTGTGGGGCTCCCGTGCTGATTAGCATATTTGTGGAATGATGTGAGCCCATCCTCACTGACTGTGGCCTCTTTGTTAGGAAGTCTTTAATCCACAGGCAGATGTTGTGCTGTATGCCTAGGGCAGACATCTTGTGAAACAGTCTATTTGGTTAGGTGGTATTAAAAGCCATACAAATTGCCATAAAAGCAATTTTTGGCCATCTGCTGCAAAACTAGAGTGTTTTGGTAACAAGTGCTTCATAGCCTGTGACATCTTCTTAACTTCAGCGAATTTATCCGCGAAATCTTTGACGGATGATCCAAAGATGAGATCCATCTTAGATCAAGTCAGCCATAGGTGTCTCTCAGCAATGGTGAGAAAAGCCATGTTCCCGCCCAATGGCCTGTGCAGCGGATTTCTCGGCGCGAAGAGCCAGAGAGCTCACCCAATCCTCACTGTCGGATGCCAGAAAAGAGCAGCTGGCCTCCTCTTCAGATGCAGCATTGGCGGACGGCGGCAGTTGTCCTTCGGTGAAGCTGGTGAAGCTTGAGGGCAAACCGGCAAGCTTTCACGGGCTGGAGAAGGCTCGGGGACCATCTGAGTATGGCGCTGTTTCTGGCGCGGCACTATAGCGGGCGGAAATGCAGGTTCTGAGAAAAATGCCAGACGAGTCCTCAGAGTCACCATGGCAATACCTAGCACTGTTAGCAGCCACCGTCAGCGAGCGCAAGAGCTGCATGATCCATACCCAGGCAGGAAATGCAGATGAAATGGCAGTCCCCGTCGCTAAGTGCGGCTCAGCACGAGCAACAGGAATGAGGCATCTTTAAAAAGACACTGCTCTTAGATAGAGAGAGAGTGTGAGTCGCAGCGGCGAACACACACTCGGCAGAGTAAAAAGTATATAAATGCCGAAAAGCGAAGCAGGTACGGCGACTGAAGGCCAGCAGCTTCAGATGCAAAGGCTCGTCCCGCAGAAAGCTTTTCTCAGACGGCGCAGCTTCTTCACTCCGGATCCAGAGATGCGTAGGCTTCGCTGAGGAGATGAAAAATCTGTTCACATCAGCCCATCGAGCTGTATTTATAGCCCAGGCCACGCCCGCTTTGGCAGGAGGTGTCATAGTGGGCGCGAAGAGCCCCCATTGGATCTGATGTCACCAAGGGCCTCTCTCGATAGGCTGCTGCGGTTGCCGCAGGACGGCCAGGACACGAGCCGCCTTGCCTATGTCTGCATGCAATTTTACATTAATTAAAAATTAATGATCATTTTTGGCTTCAAAATCTTGTGGAAAAGAGGTTTTCCCCTAGCGTAAGATATTACGCAGTACGTTAGAACCTCTCGTAAGAGATCTTTGTTTAAAAAGGGGGATAAATCTTTTATTGCTTTGTATGAAACCACTTTGTAATGTTTTGACAATGGCATAAACCACACATCATTACTAAAAAAAAAAAATACAACTATACAAAGGTTCTTAAGTAATCTTAAAGTAATCTTTGATGAGACATTAAATGAGTAGTTCACTTTTAAATACATTTTTTATATGCTTTAGCTTACAGGGCATCCAAGATGTAGGTGTCTGTTTCCACAGTATTTACAATTTTAATTTTTTTTAGGTCAAACCGTTGTTGTCTGACAGTCAACATATTTAAATATACAGGAAATCGCAATGGAAGACGATTTCGATATATCTAAATATGTTTAGATATTCACAGTGAAAGGTAAAACTTTTGAAATCTCTGTGTAAACAATGAGTGACGTACACGCGCAAGAGATCACTTCCGGTGCATGCGCAGACCGAAGTGCTCGTGCCTTTATATCAGTTGGACATGGCTGTGGTTACACGAGGTAAAAACGATATAAATACTGTATGTTTTCTCACACAAACCGCTCGTTTCGTGTCTTAGGCCATCAATGTGTACTTACATTTACGAGGCATTAAATTATGTTTAATTTGGCCTTCTCTGTGCATGCTCTTTTAGGAGATCCCCATAGACTTCCATTATATGACTGACAGACAACAACGGTTTAACCTAAAAATATCAAAATTGAAAATAATGTGGAAACAAAGACACCTACATCTTGGATGCCCTTCAGGTGCTAAAACATCAAAAATTAATTTCAAAGTGAATTTCAAAGTCCCTTTAACACATTTTTATTAATCCTTGTGTCACAATCTTAGCCTCTCATGACTCATTTACATTGCATTTACACAGAGTGTTTAAGGCAGAGAAGAACTTGAGTGCTAGTTAGCAGAAGAAACACTTTTAGATGCGCAGGTTGTCCATTCTTAGACCACTGCTGGCATCATGTATTTAACTGGCTCACACAGATTTTCATATACTGAATGACTACGGTGAACTATGTAGTGTAGACTAATAATTATTCATCAAAAAAAGTTTCTGAAAAAGTCTAACAAATATATAAGTAAATAAAGTGAAAAAAGGTCATTTTACAAGACAAAACACTGATTACATACATAACTTGCTCCTCTTCAACATCATCAGACCTGGTTGTTAAACAACAGGTTGACCTTTGAATACTGTAGATTGGATATGTCAAAAATGTAACAATAACTACATAAAACAAATGTAACATAGATAAAAATAAGAAGTATAGTGTTTATCATAATACAGGAAATAGTGTTATCTAAGCAGCTTAACATCTCTGGCACATACAGTAAGATATGGTCAATAGAATTAATCATAATTCTTAGAATCAAAAACTTTAGTAAAAAAAAAAAAAAAAAGAAAAGCTGGATGTTCACCAATATCTGCAATTATTTGTTTTACCAATATCTATTTTAATGTTCCACATTATTTGATAATGCCACTTTACCATTTGTCCCATACCTTTAGTATATAAGCTTAGTATATTTTTCTCCCTTAATTTATGAAACTAACAATGGAAATAACCTTGAGATACTGACTGTGGAAATCTTAATACTTTATAGAAAATTAAAACACGCTTTCCGTTTTGCTTCCAAACACATTTAAAGCAAATTGCTCGCATGTCCTACAGGGCTGTAAATTTTTCACCAATAAGAAATTGCAACTTTGAAACAATTCAACAATCCCTGTGTGGGAACGAAGCAAGCGATCTACAGTTCTGAAAAACGCCCTTAGAGTGTATAAATAGAGGCAATTCCATAGTCAATACATTGAATTTTCATTGTCAGATCATGCACCCCTAATGTACATGATATGATCACAACACATGTGAGTGACAGCATCAGCACTGAAGTGCTGCAGTGATTGTTCATGATGGCAGTGACTGTAAAGGCAGAGCTGAATGCAGAGCCAGTCAGCTGGTCGGTGAATGCTGTAGATAACAGCTAGATACTGTCAGTTTGTTTGCTGCTCCTTAACATGGGCTAGTCTTCTCTGTTTGTGTCACATACTCCACACTGCATGTCAGTATCTTTTTCTCCGTTGCAACACCACAGTTCTGCTTATGCCTCTTGCGTTCATCGCTGTGCCACATTCCATATCCAAAATAAATGAGGAAGCCTGTGGATTTATATCAAAATTATGATTTATATAAAATGTTCATGTCAAACTTAAGCCATTGTTTACTAAAAAAGAACAAAAATGAGAAGAAAAAGAGCAGCGAGACCTTTAGACACACTTTATACAGCGAGTGTGTGTGCCCAAAGATTGCACGTACCTATGGCCATCCAGATGGAGAAACGGATCCACGTGTCTCCGCTGAGCTGAACCATGAGATACACGTTGACAAATATACTCAAGATGGGTAGAAAGGGCAACAGAGGAACCTGAAGCAAAAATGACACGCTGATTCAGATATGTGCTTGACTGCACTCTGCTCAGCACTCACTTATGAAATGACCCAGACTAAAAAAGAAATAACACGATTAATGGAGGCTCTTTCGGGTCATATCACTTTGTTTTTCAAGTCATATAAGAATAGCACACAAAGCGGCCCTCCAAAGAACACAGAGTGCTTGGCAAACACAGATATTTTATACAGGCTATTACCCTAAAACTCAGGGCTGTTCTGGGCAGAATACACATCAAGATAAACACAGCAGCAACGGTTCAACATGACCCACATTTATTAAAGGGATAGTACGCCTAAAACGAAAATTCTGTCTTGCTTTGCTCACCTTTGTTATTTTAAACCTAATTTTATGCAGAATGTCAACGTTATTTTCCATACAATAAAAGTGAAAGGTTGGAAGTTCATACCACTTGTTTACTATATTGCACGTTTTTGAGGTCATTTGATGAGGTCATATGTTTTTTTGTGCATAAGTGACCAAAATTATGACTAGTTGCTTGACTGGTCACCATTCCCTTTCATTGTATGGAAAAGAGCACATTCTGCATCTTCTTTTTTTAAGTTCCATTAAAGAAAAAGGAAAAGAAAACAAAATATAGCAACCCGATCTCACGACCAAGTCGTACGAATTCGACGAATGATTAAAAAGTGGCTAATTCGTAACAATTCATACAACCTCACTCGTATGAATTAGAGCGATTTGCTAAATCGTACATATTTTACGAATTGGCCAATTCGAATGAATTCGTACAAATGACCTACCCCTTACCCCGCTCCTAAACCTAACCATCACGTGGGTTTAGACAAATCGTACGAATTAGTACGAATTAGCCACTTTTTAATCATTCGTCGAATTCGTACGAATTGGTCGTGAGAGAGTGTTGAATATAGAAAACAAATAAGAGCGTAAACAACCTTTCTAACTGAAAACTAATTGTGGTTACTGAAAAAAATGTGTAACTGTCGCAAACACTTGAATCTACTGGTTGTGGATTTATTCAGGAGGACTCAAATTGACCAAAAGTGCCCGCAGAGACATTAATAATGTTAAGAAAGATTTCCTTTTCAAATAAATGCTATTCTTTTAAACATTTTACTCATCAAGGAATCCTAAAAAATCTATCGTGGTTGCAACAAGAAAATATTAAGCAGCACAACTCTATCCAAGATCAAACCAACTCAGCATATTTGTAGAATGATTTCTGAAGGATCATGTGACTCTGAAGACAGGAATAATGGCAGGTGAAAATTCAATTCAGCTTTGAAATCATGGGATTACATGACATTTTAAAAAAATATTCAAATAAATCAAAAATAATAATTTATGATTATACTGTACTTCACAATATTACTATTTTTACTTTATCTTTTAAGTTTAGATAAACTTTTGGATTTCAAACCTACATACCATAAAAGAAACTTTCTTCCTCGTCTGAGGTTGTCTGCAAACTAGAAGGATGCACATGATGAAGATGAACAAAGATGCGACCAAGACCCCCAGGGCCCAAGGCTCCATGGCAATAACGGCCTGTCCGTAGTATGTGTTGAGTGTGCTCACAACACAAACAATTAGCACTGCAGGGGAAACAGTCACAGATCAGGATGACTACATAACAGTAAAGACATTTAAACCTCTCAGACTGCTGCAGTTCTAACCCATGATGATAACAGATGCATTGACGGCAGAGGAGGTCTGTTCGGTGGGCAGCAGTGGAGGGTTGAGCAGAGAGCGCAGGGTTACACCTCTATCCTTCAGCATGTTCAGATGAGACTCAGACTCTGTCAGCTCAGACTCGCCAACATCTTCCTTGCCCTCATTGATCCTAGACTTCTCAAACCCAGCATCAGGCTGATACCTGACACGCACAGTACATTTTGTATTAGAACAGCTGCTTATGCCACTAGAAACAGGAAGCGTGATTAAAACACTATTACATCTTTTTGTAAAATGTGACATGCAGTATCATTTAAGCTCTGCAGAAACTATCACAAGAAAATTGTCTATAACAAATCTGTCAAATCCTTCAAACACACATTATACTGAGAACTGACACAACCACTACATGGCAGATTGGTAATAATAGTACACACAGCATTGTACCTTGTTTGTAACTAGTTGATTAGGGCTTTTACCAAGTACATCAACATTCCAAGCAACCAATCCGATTTTAGGCTTGTTTATGGTTAGGTGCTTCTACATCAGTGTTATCATTTCCCTCAGATTTTAGGTAGAATTTATGGTTAGGATGAAGTTTAGGTATGAATGTTGTTCCAAGATCAACTAAATGTTGATCCATGACCATGTCTTACTTGGCAAAATTGACCAGTTGACCAGTCTGATTAGTTCTGCCACTAGTCAGCGCATCATTTAAGATGCATATTAATATTAACGAATTTTGGTCAAGACTATATCAATTCTTGAAATTAATCGTTTTACTAACCTGAGGATAAGAACACAAGCAGCCACTAATGAGTACGCCAGCAAAGTTCCAATAGACATCATGTCCACCAGCGCTTTCAAGTCAAACAGAAAAGCCATGATAGCTGTTGATATGAAACAATAGTCGATCAGGTGGAGTTTAAAAATAATACATTAAATGCATGCATATCACAAACCATACTTGCATAAATGAAATGGTTTACATACATTGGCTTAAACTAGACACTTAGTCACACTTATAACGCACACATTTATGGCATGACAATCTATTATAAAAATCGATTGTAAATATCTCTATTTTCTCAGAAATAATTTCAATTCTCTTAGCAATTTTTGCAAAGCGGACATGCAGAAAGTGAACAGCATATCTACTGTTTTGTGTTGCATAATTTAAAACTATGCTAACTTTTTTTTTTGGCAAAAGTGTGTTGTATGCTTTTCAAATAAATCTGTTTCATATTACATTGATATTTAATCCAATATATTTCATACATTTATAAGTGTGGCTTGGATGTCAAAAAGACATAAACACACCAACACAGCATGCACAGTTTATTATTTCATTGGTATTCATTTAATAAATTAAATCTTCATATTTTAAAAATCCTGATTCCAAAACAATCCAAGTATCATCATCAATGACTTTAAACTCAGGATGCAATAGCATTGGGATCCTCTTATCAAATCTTCACCAGATGTGCCCTATGACTTCATATACAGCTGCTCAGACATTCCTCACAGTAAGAAGGCAGTGTACTAACAAACATACAGTGGTACGGTATGGGATTAATATGTGCAATGTGCAGGCGGCTCCAAAAACCAAATCTACTCTGTGTCCTCATGCCCCGACTAAGCTTCCCCTCTGCTTTTTCATTCCTTAGAAGTCCTCAGAATCCATAAGCATGGCTGACCCCACGCTAGCATCAAAGTGCTGTATTAACACACAGTAGGGGAAATACTAAGAATCTCTCTGCAACTTTCATCAGAAATCTGCACCTGACACATGCATATATGCTGGTGTACATTTACATACGATATATATAGCAACAAAGCAATGGTAATTTCCTTTCTTTTTGTAGCTAACTTCATCAAGCCCTCTACATATCACTTTTGCATGCACAAAATTACATTTTCAGAGATATTAGCTACGTACTATTTATTCACAGATTTTTATCGCCACCACCAACACCACAGTGAAAGCTATGGAAGCTTGTTTCTGCCACAGATATAAAAAAAATAAATAATAATAATTCCATAATCTCATAATTGCATGTTAACATCTCTCAATTTTGACTTAGCCTATTTAATCAGAATTGTGAGATATAAACTTGCAATTGCGAGTTATGTGTGAATAACTGACTTTCTCAGAACTGTGAGGTACTCGCAATTGTCAGTTATAAAGTCAAGTCAAGTCACATTTATTTATATAGCGCTTTTCACAGATTGTATCAAAGCAGCTTCACAGTGATAACATGAAAGTAGTACAACACAGATCAATAATATTGTTAAATATTAAATAACCCCAACTGAGCAAGCCAAAAGCAAGGCGACAAAAAGTCACATTTAAAGTCACATTTTAGTTTATATCTCACAATTCTGACAACTGAGTGTTATAAAAACAGTATACGAAATCTAAACTTACAATTCTGAGAAAAAAAAAACTTTAGTTTATATCTCGCAATTTTGACTTTATATAATGCAATTCTGACTTTCTAACTCACAATTGCAAGTTTATATCACATACTTCTGACTTTTTTTCTCACAATTCAGAGTCGCAAAAAGTCGCAATAACCTTTTTTTATTTTTTATTCTTTGACGGAAATAAGCTTCCATAGAAAGCATGCTTCCATTAACAGGGTAATTAAGCAGGCACACTGCACCTCCACCAGGCTGACACAAACGGGACAGCAGGCCATGCCAGGCCTACCTCGATCTTAGCTTACCCGCGGTAGTGCCCGCTGCCATAGTGGCAGCCACTGGCGACTGACGCTTACTCACTTTGGAAAGAAATCTGAATAGCACGCCATCTCTTGCCATGGCAAACAGAATGCGGGGAAGAGGGAACAAAGAACCCAACAGGCTAAAAAAAAAAAGGAGTCATGGTTCAGATACCTGCAACTCTGGAAGGAAAAAAACACATTAACCAACACCGGCAAGTGTGAAGGAGCAAATATTTTTATATAAAGATTAAACTCAAAAAATATTTTGGAGATGAGTATAAATAGACACGAATTATCCAGGCCTGAAATATACAAGAACATTTCTTTCTTTAAAAAAATTCTTGACATTTCCAGGTTTTTTTCACAATTCCACTCTTTTTCACATTTGCCTGGTGGATCACATTGGCAGTTTGCATAGCAATCGTGCCTCCATCTCTCACCTGCAACTACACCTGAAGACATTGTAGCAATAAGAGGGGTCTTCGTCTTAGGATTGATTTGGGCTAACACTTTGAAAAGCACCCCATCCTGTGCCATAGCATAGATTACACGCGGCATTGGGAAAATGGAGCCCAGCAGACTGCATGTGAGGCAAACACATCAGCAGAAGCAAAGTGTCAATTAATCACATGCTGCAGATCTGATCCCAAAAACTTCAATGCTGTGTACTATTACAGGTGTCCACAAATACTGATTTTATTTTAAAGTCGACATGAAATCAAAATTAACACTGTTTACTTTCTTAACACATTTCTGGTCTTCTTATGCATGATTAAAGAATTTATGTTATTCCAGCCCGTTCTCATCCTTTAACGTCATATAGAACGCCATATGCAAAAACGGCGCTATACTACGCACATGGCACCCTTTATCGTTAATATAACACGCGAACCCAAGACGTTATAAATCCTTTAGCGTAAATATGACACGCACACCCTACCCCACACCTAAACTTAGCCCTCACAGCACGTGTTATATTAACGATAACGGGTGCCATGTGCGTAGAATAGCGCCGTTTTGTCATATAGCGTTCTATATGACGTTAAAGGATGAGAATGCGTTGGTTATTCCACAGAAAACTACATTGTTGTTTCGACTGACATCACCGGCCTTTTACGTTTTTAACTCCTGCCCTCCAATCACAGGATATATAGACAACATTTTCACTGAATTAATTCCCAAAGGACAGAATAAAGTCAGCTACATTTTGTTATTTGTGAATATTCTGTTTGAGTCTAAAAAACAACACATTACAGAAGTAATAAAGGTTGCAAAATCCTGTTTCATGTTGACTAGGAAATATAAAATTTGACATAGCACATAGCAAATGAAGCAAATGGGACCAGACTGCAGTTAAATCTTTTCTTTTTTTTCCTGGGAGCTCTGCACATGGCCTATAGGCCAGTGTTTCCTAACCCTGTTCCTGGCGGCACACCAACACTGCGCGTATTCTGTCTCCCTTATCAAACACACCAGATTCAACTCATCAGCTCATAATCAGATGGGTTAATGAGCTGATGGGTTGAATCAGGTGTGTTTGATTAGGGAGACAAAGAATACGCGCAGTGTTGGTGTGCCGCCAGGAACAGGGTTGGGAAACACTGCTATAGGCTATGCCATGGTGTCCTAATTTTTTTTTTTTTTTCAATTAAAGCTGCAGTAGAAAGTTTTGAGAAAATGTTGACTTAGCCTGAAAATTTGAACAAGCACAACTTACAGGTCCCACCCCCTTGCTCTCTGCTGCGCTACAGCCCTCCCCCACAGCGGAGCCTGACGTGAACGAGCAGGCTAGTAAGCAGGGACAACGGCGGATAATAAGTTGTATGGCACATTCACTAGTTGGGATGAAACATCAACAATATGCTTTACATTGACTAAGGCAGTGTTTCCCAACCCTGTTCCTGGCGGCACACCAACACTGCGTGTTTTCTTTGTCTCCCTAATCAAACACACCCGATTTAACCCATCAGCTCATTAACCCACCTGATTATGAGCTGATGGGTTGAGTCAGGTGTGTTTGATAAGGGAGAGGGTTGGTGTGCCGCCAGGAACAGGGTTGGGAAACACTGGACTAAGGCCTGCCCATACTTTGACTACAAACTTGGTCCTCAAATCATTACAATACATGTAAAGGAAATTTATAACGTTGCACCTTTCTATAAGTTATAAATAGCTAGTAAGATAATATATCGATAACGTAACTTATGTAATATAATTGAAGTAATTACTCTATAGATATGTACGCCTAATGCTAGATAAGGTTTGCTAGTAGGCCTGTATTTGTAACGAGTTCAGTAGTTTTGGGAAAAAGGAGCCGGGAACCGGCGAACGTTCAACAACAAATACAAAATTTAGGTATAAGCCAGCAGCCCCTCACGGACAACACACAAAACAGTATAAGAAATGGACAGAGCTATCTCATTGGAACTCCATTGAGACGATTGAAGCCCGTTTTTGGCGATTTTTATTTTTTTTTTTTTTTTTTTTTTAAGCACTTCCATCCCTGATGCGCAGACTCAAACAGAGCTTGCCAAAGTAGATGTGACGAGAGCACCCCGTCTGTCTTCTAGTGGTTGTGGCATGAGAAATCTGTCTGCCTACTTTCACTAAAACTGCTTCTACGGGGCCATAACATAAGCTACAAGGTAATGGAGCATTTTATACATTGTCGTGTTTCTTTAGAAATAAATAAAGGACAAATGGGCTCTTCAAACGCCTCAGATGTAAAGTTATTCGCTGTCAAAGTGACACCAAAATGAATGGGAGTCAATTGGAAGATGGCAGCTCCCGCGAGGCTTCAACTTCCGGTCGATGGATTACCCCCTTGTGATCAGCGCGTACATGAGCGTGATTGACACTGCTAAAGCCGCCTTTCCACTGCACACGACATTCGCATATGATTGTTGTATTTTGCTCCCTAGTGTCAGTCACACAGAACTTTGAAATTGGTCGTGAAGCACGCGTTACCGTCGGATATTCAATCTCAATCCCTCGGTAAAATTAATGATTTTAATGAATGTAATGCATGCATAAATATATCTACACAAAACAAATGACCCTCAATACATCTCAAATAAAAACATAGGCTAGTAGATTTTATAGAGCTAATCAATATAAATATCGTCTGAATAATTATAAAATATTTTTTTCTGCTGTAGTTAATTATAACCAATATTTTACAAAAAGAGCGTTTACATAAAAACACTAAAGAGTTAAAATATTTGTAATTCTAGCCTCGCGCTCATAGTTTTTATTAGAATACATCACATCCGGTTGCCCGGTCACATACGGTCTAGCAGCAGAAGTTCAGATATTTCAACAGTTCAAAGCTCAAATCGGATCCGAATTTTCCGCATATGTATATGATCGGAACTCCCCGCAGCTCCCGTACGACTCTCCATTGGAAATGAATGACTTCCGGTATGATGGTGGTCGTTTTTCGTGTGCAGTGGAAAGGCAGCTTTAGACACTCCTCCTGGCACTGATGTGGTTGTTTCTGACCGGGAGCGTTGTATTTCTGCAAATGGCAATAGGACCACTGGGAGGAGCCAGAGGAGCTTGATTTATTTCACAGATCATCTATCTCATAGTCTACCAGGACATAATGACAGTTTTAACAAATATGTAAAAAAAAAAAAAAAAAATTGTTAACAAGTTACCTACTGCAGCTTTAATGCCACGAGAATTCATAAGAAAAGTAGTTTGAATCAAAATGATTGGTCTTGGGTAATAATTTACCCAATTTTGGTCTTTTATAGCAATAGAGTGCAACAGTCGGGTTCTGGAAGTAAAAACTCCATTCATTTTCTCCATAAGGAAATAGATTTTTAAAAGCTGTTTGAAATCTGCAATTGCAGTCATTCGCAGAATTATCAACTTTACGTGAGTTGTAGTTCGACACCCTCTACACAACACATTGCGGAAGAACACATTGAGGAGACTACAGCTGTCAATCAACAGTGTTGATACTGGCATTCAGACTCACTACTAACAAGGAAAATGTCATCTGAACAAGTAAATAATATGTAAAATGTATTGTTGCAATGAGTAGAGCTAGGCAAGGCAGTGCTGCGTTCTGGACTCGGCTTACATAGGAATAAGCCACGCCTATTTTGGCGGGACATGACACACAAGGGTGCCTGCGCTCCCTCATTGGTGCTTACGTCATGACCAGTCCATCGATTGGTTGCAGCATTTGCCACAGAGCGACCAAAAGGCACACCAGCTGCCTCGCCAAGCTCTGCTCCGTGCAACAATGTGTTTTTCATATAAGAAAAATCAAAGGATAAATTTTTGGCTGCAGTATTCTCGAGAAAAGGGATTTTCCCATACACTCGTTTCCTCTGCTAGAGAATTCTGAGGTTACGTAAGTAACCGAGTGTCGTTTTATTACTCCATCTTTCTTAATTTGATTATGCTGCTTGCAATGCTTCATGAGATTGTCTTGTACCTTTGTAATTTTGTCTGAATACTTTTTTTGATCCAAATCAAAGTTTGTAACATTATGATTCACTTAGTAGCTGGTTGGCTTGCTTAGTGACTTAAAATGCATTAACAAAGACTTTTTGAAATACCTTTGGGACAAATGAATAGGGAAAAAAACTTCCGGAACCAACGCTGCTGGAAGCACTGTTGCACTCCATGGGTTCAAGAAAAGAGGTGTATACTTTACCAATCACACACCAGGATGTTTTTAAACATAATCAAGATTAATATTAGAGAAAATCTAATAATAATTCCAAAAATACCGTGGAGTGTAATTCATGCAGCTTTGCTAAATGCCAAACAATAGTCCTTACTGATTTATATCACCAGGAAAAAACAGAAACTCATTCCACATGACAATTTTGTTCTGAAATAGAGCAAGTTAAAACTTGTATCATATAAAAGCTAAAAAAAAAATAACGTGATTAATTAAATGCTATGTATAACTATTTAAATTGCTCTCTTTCAAACAAACCACCATCAAAAAGTCATTAGGGATGCAAAGCATATAATCAGACCACCACAAACCCAACTAAGAACTCCATGAGAATTCCAAATGAATTAGGAAAGTGTTGTGTTTAACCGAATAACAAACAAATTACAAAATTAATAAATGCACTTTTTTTGTAAGTATTCACAATGTTTGATACGAGTATGCTATCTCAATATACCGTCTTGTGAGATGACTTGGCCAGCAGAACAACATTATGGGAACAAAGAAAGATGTTTACCTGGTTGAGAGAGCACAGAGCGATCCTGCCGCTACTACATATTTTGCAGGCCCCCAGCCCACATATTCAAAAGCCAAAGGTAGAGGACTTCTCTCATCCAGCAGGTAGTAGGGCATCATGAGGGTGAGTGCCGCTGACACTCCAAAGTAGGCAAGGAAGCAGACCAGCAGGGAAACAACTATACCAATGGGAATAGCCCTCTGGGGATTCTTCACCTCCTCACCTGGTCAGAATCACAAACATCAACACACTTGGAACTCAAGATCAGATTGGAGGAATGAAAATAACTGTGCGTGACTGTATACCTGTGGTTGCAATGCAGTCAAATCCCACAAAGGCGTAAAAGCATGTGGCCGCGCCAGCAAGTGTCCCGCTAAAGCCATAAGGCAAAAAGCCCCCTACCCCGTAATCGCTGGTGACATTAACAGTGTGTGAGAAATTCCTGTAAGGAGATTGAAGTGTATTTTCATATTTGAATGGTTATGATCATAATTCACATATCAGGCTGCATAATTCATCAACATATGAAAGAAGAGAAGGAATAAGAAAGAGAGATTCTTCACCTTCTGACAATGGTGATGTTTATGAGAGATTCTTCTGAAATGTTCCAATTGAGCGCATCTCCTTTGACGAATCCAGAGATAATAACAAAGATCAGCACCAGCACATTTACAGCTGTGAAAATTTTGTTGACCCAAGCTGATTCTTTCACCCCAAAGGAGAGAAGACCTGTGAATAAAAGAATCACAGTGACAGACATGAAAAAAAACATCATTTGTTTAATAGTTTTTCCAATAGTGCTTAACTTAAATGATGCAAGACATTCAAACATGTATTCATTTAGCAGATGCGTTTATGCAAAGTGACTAACAAATGAGTAATCTAACCATTGTTGGGTGTAATGCATTAATTACTGTAATATAATTTTTCCCTTGAAAAAGTAAAGTAAGGGATTACTCTTTATTTTTCGGTTTTGATTAGTTACTTATGATTTAATGGACTAGAACTATTTTATAATAATAGTGGATTTAACATCAACATTTAACCTCTAATGTTAAAATTATTTTTTTATGTAACCATCTCCCTTTAAAAACTTTGCTCACACTTTGCTCAGTTCAAAAATATTTTATGCAATTTTATATTATTTATTTGAAAGAATTAAAAGAGCAGTTTCATGTCTATTCTATTGTTCAACTGTTCAGGCGTCATATGGGATTTAGAAAGTAATCAGTAATAAGTAATGAAATACTTTTAAAAGAGTAATTAGTATTGTAATCTAATTACACAGCTGAAGATGGAATTAGTAGCAATTCATTACTTTTTTAGAGTAACTTACCCAACAATGAGCAACAACACAGAATAGAGCATGCTAGAACAAGGAAGAATATAATTTTGTTTTTTTAACACTTTTTTTTTTTTTTTTACCTGACAGTAGTAAGATCAGGCAGACAGCAAAGAAATCAGGGTACTCTGCCAGGCCAGGAAAATTCATTTTGAAGTAAAATTTGCAGAACTTTTCAATGTGACCCCCTATAAGCTCATCAAACGTCCCACTCCAGGCACGTGCCACACTAGAGGTTCCTGTGCCAACCAAACATCAGTTTATGTTTGAAAAATATCATTTTATTTGTTATATTTTTGCTTTAAAATATGACTAATCCATAATTACCAATGACGTATGACAAAATGAGGTTCCATCCTGTGATGAAGGCCCAGAGCTCCCCCACGGTCACATAGCTGTACAGATAGGCCGAGCCCGTCTTGGGTACCCGTGCACCAAACTCAGCATAACACAGGCCGGCCATCACAGATGCTAGAGCTGCGATGAGGAAGGAAACCACAATACTGGGGCCAGAATTGCCTTTGGCCACCTCCCCAGCAAGCACATAGACACCGGCCCCCAGTGTACTTCCCACCCCGAGGGCAATGAGATCGACAGTAGAGAGGCAGCGGCACAGCTTGGACTCCTCCAGACAGTCCTGGTCCACATTCTTCCTCCTCACAAGGGAGCGGCAAAATGTAAGGCAATGTTCCAGCATTCTTCCTGTTAGCACAAACTGTCAACAGAATATTTCTCAAATAAATAAATCAAGTTCACTATGTATATTTGTTTTTTAGTGTTGAGTATGTACCAAAAGAAAGATTTCTGAAGATGATTTATTTTCTTTACTATGTTTTACATAGTCAAATCATGCAGAAAAGATTATGTCATGACTAACACTGTGCAGAAGAAATGCACAAAGTAAAGATTCGATTCTGCAAGATCAGTATATTGGGAACCGAAGTGGAGCTGAGGCATGCAAAATGACAACTTTATTATTCAACAACACTTTCAGCCTTTGTTCTCACATGCACATATCTGCAGTTTAAGCAGCAAGTTTTAGTATTGCCCAATCTACATAAGCCTAGGGCATTATTGCATAATAGTGGGATAAAGTACTTTCATTTCATTCCATAGGCGTAGATATTTGGCACATCACTTATTGGCCAGTGTGCTTTTTTGCATTTAAAGCCTTAAGCTTGTTGGTTTATTTTAATGGCTAACAAGTTCATTATTAAAGTTCTTTATGCGAATGAAGTAGAATGGGTTTATATAAAGGTTTTTTTTTTTTTTAAGTATTTAAAGTATGTAGTCTGCAATGCAAACTGAGGTTAACACTAGGGTCCTCGTTCAATGATCTTTGTAACATTTGTAAAATTAAATCCATTTTAGTTATAGCACTGTCTCTTTAAAAATAAATGCTATATATATATATATATATATATATCATTTAAAAGACAACCCTTTCAGAAGTTTCATGTCAGTACATTTTTTTAAAATTAATTAATAGTTTCATTCAGCAAAGACACAACAATCATAAGTGACAGTAAAAATATGTATAATGTTATAAAATATTTCTATTTAAAAATTAAATATTTGTGTTTTTTGAGCAGCAAATCAGCATATTAGAATGATTTCTGAAGGATCATGTGACAGTGACACTGAAGACTGGAGTAATCAGCTTTGACATCATAGAAATAAATTACAATAGAAAAGAAAAAAAACTGATTCTGATTGAATGATTGATATTCAAATAGAAAAAAAAGTTATTTTAAATTGTAATATTTTCCAGTGGTATTTGGTTTGCTCTATTTTGAACAAATAAAGGCCTTCAAAATCATTTTAAAAATTTTAACAACCCAAAACTTTTAAACAGTAGAATATATATGTATATGTATATACAAACAGCATATATAACAGCTTTAGAGAATCAATTTTTTTCCTGTTTTGCATGTAAATGAATATGCAAACCAAAGTTGCACTAAAACTGCTTTCTAAATAATCTATTTTACATGCAAAACACATTTTGTAAAAAAAAAAAAAAAAGAAAGAAAGATTTAGCACATTGTGATGTGTATGAGCAAATGGCTTGGCATTAGCATTACACTGTGTCTGCTTACAACCTGTGAAAGGTGTTAAGGAGTCAGTCACACAGGCAGAGAAGAGTGACATGCATAAGGCTGTGAGCTGTGGCCCTGAGGGCTCGGACTTGACAAGCAACTTTGAGGCTCAGTTACATCACAGCTTGTATAATAGTGAGCCAAAATCTATTACTCTTACTGTAACGAGTGAGAGGATTTCATTAATATTAGTCTTTGCACATGCAATGATCATAAATTAATTTCATATTTTACTCTCCTTTTGGAATAATATGTCTTAAATAAAAGTATTTAAAAATATGACTGTGTAAACACACATGAGCAATGACAAATCATCTAAAATCATGTATGTGTGCACAGACCCTAAACACAGACACTAAAACTTACCGTGTGGTGAAAGCCTGGCAGATGTAAAGTCACGTTATGTAAGTAATGCCTTTCTTCTTAGGGCTTTAATGCAAACACACACATACACTCACACCTCTCCACGGATTTCTTTAAAAAGCTTGCAAGCTCAGAGAGATCCAAGTCAGTCCTTCCCAAGTCCTGTCTCAAGTTTGCCCCTGCCTTCCTCTAGCTCAAATGACATGTCAGCCCACAACCGCACTAGTTTTACTGCCTACTTTACTCTATCCTGGTTTGTCTTAACTTGCCCTGCCCCCTGTGAGGAGGACTTTTCTGGCAGTTGTGTGTGCTGTGCTGCCCCAAAGAGGAGGAGGGACACTTACACATTTCACACAGAGGGAGGCAATGCTAACATTTAAACAGGTCACTGGGGTTTGTGGAAAAAAAACAAAAAACAAACTGTGTGTGTGTGTGTGTGTGTGTGTGTGTTAATAATGCTGCCTGATTCCTTTTGAACATGCTTCTTTTTTTTTTACTCATGGCCGAGTAAGTCCCAGCTGCCAGTGCACTTACTGACCGCTGATAAACGGTTAAGCAACTGACAATGACAAACATTGAGACAGACAGATCTGTTTGCCCTGTGCCAAGTGGAAGAGTTGCTAAAAGCATGAATGCTGATTGGACAACAAGAGCAATCACAGGTAAAGGGCTTTAAAGGGTGATTGTTTCCCTTATATATAAGTTCATGAGCATGGGGATATTGGGTCAATACTGTAGGTCTCTTCAGAACAGTAGAGCTCATATCACAATTCTGATATTGGGGAAAACAGTGTGAGTCACTCAGGGTTGAAAAACAAATGTTTTAAACATTGAATTAAGAATATTTGGTAGCATTTGATTTTGAATGTCCCTTTTGAACATGCTGTTCATAGACTGCCATCTTTTGTATTCTTTGTATCTGCAAACAATTTAATGTGGTCCTCCAACAGACATTCGACTGACTAACTTTGCAACATGTCAACTTATTGTGACCCTAACCCTCTCAGTCTACTAATACTATGCATTTATGCCATTATAAAAATAGTGGGTTTGAGGGATCTCAATATCTCAGACCTGAGTGCAAAAATGGAGGCTCTAGACCCTTCCAGAGCTGAGATATTGAGATATTTATAATGGCATAAATGCTTTGTGAGATCTCAATATCTCAGCTCTGGAAGGGTCTAGAGACTTCATTTTTGCACTCAGGTCTAAGTCTCATGGCCCTCTATCAGAATCCAGAGTTTTGAGAAGATTCGAGAAACTTATTTTTCGCAACCAAAAAAAAAACAAAAAACGAGAGGGGTACCACTGTCGTTTTTTTTTTAGTTGCGAAAAAATAAGTTTCTCCAATCTTCTCAAAACTCTGGATTCTGATAGAGGGCCATGAGACTTAGACCTGAGTGCAAAAATGGAGGCTCTAGACCCTTCCAAAGCTGATATATTGAGATATTTATAATGGCATAAGTGCTAAGTGAGATCTCAATATCTCAGCTCTGGAAGGGTCTAATGTTACGTATGACACTGAAGCTTCAATGCGCGTATCACATATACGACACAATTTCTAGTGAAGCCCCGTATCGGGGTTTTTATTGGTTTTTCCAGAGTCACGTGATCGATGACAAATGAAGCCTCACTCTCTGTCCGATCACGTGCGAGTTTCGCTTTGGGTGTCAGAAGGCTCGAACTCCAGATCTTATTTAACGAGTCAATGTTGCCTTAGTCTGGTGGATGGGTGTTTGAGGAGAGTGCTGTACTTTGAAAGTTAATAAATATAATCCATTAAATATCCAAAATTTATTTTTCACTACTTAGTCTATTCTTTTTTGCTTTGTCTTTTTGTTTTTGTAAAATCTTTGCACTTTGGTGGATTTAAGGTAATTTGGTGTTGGTATTTGGATTTAGGGTGGGATTAGGAGAGAGGGATAGGGTGTTGGTGTTTGGTGAAGGGTTTGTATTTAGAGCAATGGCAACAGCCAAAAAAAGGAAGACTTCCCCTATCTGGGGAAAATTCGGCCCGAATTTTCGGAAAATTCGGCCCCTTAGAACTGAGTGCAAAAATGGAGTCTCTAGCCCCTTCCAGAGCTGAGATATCGCAACTCAAAAATTCGGCCCGAAAAAAAAAAAACGACAGTGGTACCCCTTACGTTTTGTTTTTTTCGGGCGAAAAATTAAGTTTCTCCAATCTTCCCAAAACTCTGGATTCTGATAGAGGGCCATGAGACTTAGACCTGAGTGCAACAAATGGAGGCTCTAGCCCCTTCCAGAGCTGAGATATCGAAAACTAAAAAAAAATTCGGCCCGAAAAAAAAACGACAGTGGTACCCCTTACGTTTTTTTTTTTTGGGCGAAAAATTAAATTTCTCCAATCTTCCCAAAGCTCTGGATTCTGATAGAGGAACATGATACTTACACCTGAGTGCAAAAATTGACGTTCTAGCCCCTTCCAGAGCTGAGATATCGAAACTCAAAAATTCGGCCCCAAAAAAAAACGACAGTGGTACCCCTTACGTTTTTTTTTTGGGCAAAAAATTAAGTTTCTCCAATCTTCCCAAAACTCTGGATTCTGATAGAGGGCCATGAGACTTAGACCTGAGTGCAAAAAATGGAGGCTCTAGCCCCTTCCAGAGCTGAGATATCGAACTCAAAAATTCGGCCAAAAAAAAACGACAGTGGTACCCCTTACGTTTTTTTTTTGGGGGCAAAAAATTAAGTTTCTCCAATCTTCCCAAAGCTCTGGATTCTGATAGAGGGCCATGAGACTTACACCTGAGTGCAAAAATGGAGGCTCTAGCCCCTTCCAGAGCTGAGATATCGAAACTCAAAAATTCGGCCCGAAAAAAAAAACGACAGTGGTACCCCTTACTTTTTTTTTTTTTTGGGCAAAAAATTAAGTTTCTCCAATCTTCCCAAAGCTCTGGATTCTGATAGAGGGCCATGAGACTTACACCTGAGTGCAAAAATGGACGTTCTAGCCCCTTCCAGAGCTGAGATATCGAAACTCAAAAATTCGGCCCGAAAAAAAACGACAGTGGTACCCCTTACGTTTTTTTTTGGGCAAAAAATTAAGTTTCTCCAATCTTCCCAAAACTCTGGATTCTGATAGAGGGCCATGAGACTTAGACCTGAGTGCAAAAATGGAGGCTCTAGCCCCTTCCAGAGCTGAGATATCGAAACTCAAAAATTCGGCCCCGAAAAAAAAAACGACAGTGGGACCCCTTACGTTTTTTTTTTTTTGGCCGAAAAATTAAGTTTCTCCAATCTTCCAAAGCTCTGGATTCTGATAGAGGGCCATGAGACTTAGACCTGAGTGCAAAATGGAGGCTCTAGCCCCTTCCAGAGCTGAGATATCGAAACTCAAAAATTCGGCCCGAAAAAAAACGCAGTGGTACCCCTTACGTTTTTTTTTTTTGGGCGAAAAATTAAGTTTCTCCAATCTTCCCAAAGCTCTGGATTCTGATAGAGGGCCATGAGACTTAGACCTGAGTGCAAAAATGGAGGCTCTAGCCCCTTCCAGAGCTGAGATATCGAAACTCAAAATTCGGCCCAAAAAAACGACAGTGGTACCCCTTACGTTTTTTTTTTTTGGGCGAAAAATTAAGTTTCTCCAATCTTCCCAAAACTCTGGATTCTGATAGAGGGCCATGAGACTTAGACCTGAGTGCAAAAATGGAGGCTCTAGCCCCTTCCAGAGCTGAGATATCGAAACTCAAAAATTCGCCCGAAAAAAAAACGACAAGGTACCCCTTACGTTTTTTTTTGGGCAAAAAATTAAGTTTCTCCAATCTTCCCAAAACTCTGGATTCTGATAGAGGGCCATGAGACTTAGACCTGAGTGCAAAAATGGAGGCTCTAGCCCCCTTCCAGAGCTGAGATATCGAAACTCAAAAATTCGGCCCGAAAAAAAAACGACAGTGGTACCCCTTACGTTTTTTTTTTTGGGCGAAAAATTAAGTTTCTCCAATCTTCCCAAAACTCTGGATTCTGATAGAGGGCCATGAGACTTAGACCTGAGTGCAAAAATGGAGGCTCTAGCCCCTTCCAGAGCTGAGATATCGAAACTCAAAAATTCGGCCCGAAAAAAAAAACGACAGTGGTACCCCTTACGTTTTTTTTTTTGGGCGAAAAATTAAGTTTCTCCAATCTTCCCAAAACTCTGGATTCTGATAGATGGCCATGAGACTTAGACCTGAGTGCAAAAATGGAGGCTCTAGCCCCTTCCAGAGCTGAGATATCGAAACTCAAAAATTCGGCCCGAAAAAAAAACGACAGTGGTACCCCTTACGTTTTTTTTTTTGGGCGAAAAATTAATTTCTCCAATCTTCCAAAACTCTGGATTCTGATAGAGGCCATGAGACTTAGACCTGAGTGCAAAAATGGAGGCTCTAGCCCTTCCAGAGCTGAGATATCGAAACTCAAAAATTCGCCCGAAAAAAAACGACAGTGGTACCCCTTACGTTTTTTTTTTTTGGGCGAAAAATTAAGTTTCTCCAATCTTCCCAAAACTCTGGATTCTGATAGAGGGCCATGAGACTTAGACCTGAGTGCAAAAATGGAGGCTCTAGCCCCTTCCAGAGCTGAGATATCGAAACTCAAAAATTCGCCCCGAAAAAAAAACGACAGTGGTACCCCTTACGTTTTTTTTTTTTGGCGAAAAATTAAGTTTCTCCAATCTTCCCAAAACTCTGGATTCTGATAAGGGCCATGAGACTTAGACCTGAGTGCAAAAATGGAGGCTCTAGCCCCTTCCAGAGCTGAGATATCGAAACTCAAAAATTCGCCCAAAAAAAAAACGACAGTGGTACCCTTACGTTTTTTTTTTTGGGCAAAAAATTAAGTTTCTCCAATCTTCCCAAAACTCTGGATTCTGATAGAGGGCCATGAGACTTAGACCTGAGTGCAAAAATGGAGCTCTAGCCCCTTCCAGAGCTGAGATATCGAAACTCAAAAATTCGGCCCGAAAAAAAAACGACAGTGTACCCCTTACGTTTTTTTTTTTGGGCGAAAAATTAAGTTTCTCCAATCTTCCCAAAACTCTGGATTCTGATAGAGGGCCATGAGACTTAGACCTGAGTGCAAAAATGGAGGCTCTAGCCCCTTCCAGAGCTGAGATATCGAAACTCAAAAATTCGGCCCGAAAAAAAAACACGACAGTGGTACCCCTTACGTTTTTTTTTTGGGCGAAAAATTAAGTTTCTCCAATCTTCCCAAATTCT